GGTATGTAGTGTGTGTGATGGTGAGGTATGTAGTGCGTGTGATGGTGAGGTATGTAGTGCGTGTGATGGTGAGGTATGTAGTGCGTGTGATGGTGAGGTATGTAGTGCGTGTGATGGTGAGGTATGTAGTGCGTGTGATGGTGAGGTATGTAGTGCGTGTGATGGTGAGGTATGTAGTGCGTGTGATGGTGAGGTATGTAGTGCGTGTGATGGTGAGGTATGTAGTGCGTGTGATGGTGAGGTATGTAGTGCGTGTGATGGTGAGGTATGTAGTGCGTGTGATGGTGAGGTATGTAGTGTGTGTGATGGTGTGGTATGTAGTGCGTGTGATGGTGAGGTATGTAGTGCGTGTGATGGTGAGGTATGTAGTGTGTGATGGTGAGGTCGTAGTGTGTAATGTAGTATGTAGTGTGTCAGATGTACCCGTGAGCTTGTGCGTCTCTGATGCGTCGTGCGCTGCTGCTGAATGCCTCACTCGTCACGGCCTGAAGACTCTGGAAACTCTGCAGCAGTAATGTAGTATGTAGTGTGTCAGATGTACCCATGAGCTTGTGCGTCTCTGATGCGTCGTGCGCTGCTGCTGAATGCCTCACTCGTCACGGCCTGAAGACTCTGGAAACTCTGCAGCAGGAAGCAGCGCTCCGCATGTTGCTCGGCCAGCAGTGCTCTCTGATTGGCCAGAAGGACATCAAGCACCTCCTCCAGAGCATCCTGGGGCGGAGCCACAGCACACACTTATAACATTCCCAGAATGTTAGAAATTATATGGTTTCTGACTTGACTTAGACACCGTTGAATTTATATGTATTTATTAAATGCAAATATAAAATTATCATAAAAACAGATGCATGGAAATCAAAGTAAGGTCTTTTGTTCAACTAAACTAAAGAGAGTGCAAACAGAAGAGAGAATGATTTAGCGTACTTCACGGTGCTGCTGCTTGGAAAACACTGCAGCACCAGCGCATTTCCAGTTCACCCTGCAGCCTGACCATGTGCTCACGCCACAGTACAGCAAACAAGCTTTAACTTAGAAACACCAGAGCAGTCGGTACAGACGTCAGACTGATGGTCAGCCCACCTGACGGCTGTAGTACTGCAGCAGGAGTTTGTCGGCGGTGCTTTTCTCCAGCTCTCCGGTTCGGACGGCCTCCTCCAGCTCCTCACCAAAGATCTTGTGCAGCTCAAAGCGCCGCCGCAGCGCCTGCTGCCTCTGTGCCTGCGCAGATGCGTGTTCATGCCTGACCAGGAGCCGCTTCTGCAGACGCTTCAGCTCTTCCTTATGAAGCTTCTCCAGTAGAGAACGAACCTCCAGCACGTCCTGATAACATACGACACACATCACACATCATGTTCTTACTTAGAGCTTCTTGTACAAATATCAAAACATTCTTAAAGGGGTCATATAACAATGCTAAAAATAACATTATTTGGTGTATTTGGTTTAATGCAGTGTTTACGCAGTTTAAGGTTCAAAAAAACATTATCTTCCACATACCGTACATTATTGTTTCTCCTCTCTGCCCGGCCTTTCTGAAACGCGTTGATTTTTACAAAGCTCATTGTTCTGAAAAGCGCTGTGTGCTCTGATTGGCCGGTTATCCAGTGCGTTGTGATTGGCCGAATACCTCAAGCATGTGATGGAAATGTTACACCCCTTACCATATTTGGAAACACAGCATCTCCACGACAACAATACTACAGCGAGAATAAAAGTTACGCCTTCTTTCTTTGTGTAAATATTTGTGCGGTGTTATGCAAATCTTCCCACATAGTGACGTAGATATGTGGAAGCGTGTTTAAACGAGGCGTTTTAGGAAAGCGTGGACGAGTCTTAACTTTTATAAAGAATATCTCTTTGGGTTTGAGGCTTTAGTCTTTGCAACTTTACGTATCTTTTATGTGACCCTGGACCACAAAGCCAGTCATAAGGGTAAATTTTTTGAAATTGAGATTTATATATCATCTGAAAGCTGAATAAATAAGCTTTCCATTGATGTATGGTTTATTAGGACAATATTAGGCCGAGATACAACTATATTGAGAAAATCGCCTTTAAAGTTGTCCAAATAAAGTTCTTAGCAACTTAGCATTTTTTTATATATTTACGGTAGGAAATTTACAAAATATTTTCATGGAACATGATCTTTACTTAATATCCTAATGATTTTTGGCATAAAAGAAAAATTGATAATTTTGACCCATACAATGTATTGTTGGCTATTGCTACAAATATACCCCAGCGACTTAACACTGCTTTTGTGCTCCAGGGACACATATGTGCACGAACAGCTTGTAACACTCCAAAGACAAAAGAAAACTCGAAATCGCATCATATGACCCCTTTAAATCAAGATACATTTACTGGAGAAGCAAAACAACATATGACAAAAAGTTTTGTTTTCTGGAAAAAATAATAAAAATGAAGTGGGTTTATGCTTAAAAAACATCTGCCAATGGGGCCAGAAAAATAAACTTGATTCAATAGAAAACAGATATTTGTTCTTGCTTTAACCATAAAGTCAATTCAGATAAATTTTTGGGAAAGCATCATTGTTCAGAAGAGCATCACCTGCGGCCGCGGCGTGTGCTGGAACAGTAGCTCTGCGTGTGACGTCTCGCTCATGTGTTTGCGCTGCTGTGTTTCCATCTCCTCCTGCGTCTCCAGGTTACACTGAGCGGCGAGCGCTGCCATCCGCACCACATGCTCCTCCTGGACTCTTCCTTCCATGCCCACGATCTGCCCATTAATGACCCCCAGAACACGCCTCTCGCCCCGATAACTCAGACGCCCCGCCGCCCGAACTCCCGCCAGCAGCACAGACAGCAGCCCCTTAAACATCTGCACCCGCACTCGCTCCACCCACACCGCCGCGCGCAACACACACGACACCTGCAGACTGACAGAGAGACACCTCTATACTCACACACACACACACACACACAGACAAAAAGAAAAATTGATAATTTTGACCCATACAATGTATTGTTGGCTATTGCTACAAATATACCCCAGCGACTTAACACTGCTTTTGTGCTCCAGGGACACATATGTGCACGAACAGCTTGTAACACTCCAAAGACAAAAGAAAACTCGAAATCGCATCATATGACCCCTTTAAATCAAGATACATTTACTGGAGAAGCAAAACAACATATGACAAAAAGTTTTGTTTTCTGGAAAAAATAATAAAAATGAAGTGGGTTTATGCTTAAAAAACATCTGCCAATGGGGCCAGAAAAATAAACTTGATTCAATAGAAAACAGATATTTGTTCTTGCTTTAACCATAAAGTCAATTCAGATAAATTTTTGGGAAAGCATCATTGTTCAGAAGAGCATCACCTGCGGCCGCGGCGTGTGCTGGAACAGTAGCTCTGCGTGTGACGTCTCGCTCATGTGTTTGCGCTGCTGTGTTTCCATCTCCTCCTGCGTCTCCAGGTTACACTGAGCGGCGAGCGCTGCCATCCGCGCCACATGCTCCTCCTGGACTCTTCCTTCCATGCCCACGATCTGCCCATTAATGACCCCCAGAACACGCCTCTCGCCCCGATAACTCAGACGCCCCGCCGCCCGAACTCCCGCCAGCAGCACAGACAGCAGCCCCTTAAACATCTGCACCCGCACTCGCTCCACCCACACCGCCGCGCGCAACACACACGACACCTGCAGACTGACAGAGAGACACCTCTATACTCACACACACACACACACACACACAGACACGCATACACACACACACACACACACACACACACACTCACACACACACACACACACACTCTCCCATCAGACACGCATACACACACACACACACACACACACACACACTCACACACACACACACACACTCACTCACCTGTCAAGCACTTGAATCATGTTTTGTGGTTCCTCCAACATCACGATATCCACAAACTTATCCTCAAACGCTGCCTCCTCATTGGCTGAAGCAGTGATGTCACACTCTTCATTGATGCTGCTTCTCTAGAAATGAAGAAACAAGGAGTCATTCACCGCTACACTGCATCCATGCATGCGCTGACGGGCCGATCACACACTCAGCGCTGAGACTGGAATGAACTGACCGTGTGTGGAGCACAGCTGAGCAGTCGTCTGCGCCGCAGGAAGTTCAGAGACGCCAACAGGAGCGTCAGGAGAAAGGAGACCATGAATCCCACGAGGAGAAGAGAGCGATCCACACCAGCCTGCCACACATACACACAGATTAAACACACACACTCAGATCACAAACACACACCAGCAACAGCAGCTGGTTACATGGGAGTGTGTGTATGTGTGTGAGAGAGTGAGAGAGTGTGAGAGAGAGAGAGAGTGTGTGAATTTCAGTGTGTGTGTGTGTGTGTTTGTTTACCTGTTCAGTGGTGTTTATCCTCACAGTGAAATTGGCGATCACTGGACCAAACAGATGAATGTCATTCTGAAATACAATTGATCAGATTTATCATATTATTTTCCATAAACAAAACAACAATGACAGGATCATCAAGGTCCAAGACATCACACACACACACACACATCCCAGCATGCACAGCGAGTAACAGGCAGACAGATACACACAGGAGTGGATGTGGATACCTGAGTGGCGTTGGAGAAGGTCAGAAACGCTGGGAGATTGAGAATCTCTGTTGAGAGTTCAGAGTCTCCTTTCACACTCATCCTGTACAAAACCACATACTGAGAGCCAGCTACACACACACAGACACACACAGACACACACACACACACACACGACAAACACACACACGACAACCACACACACGAACTACACACACGACATACACACACGACATACACACACACACAACATACACACACACACAACATACACACACACACACAGACACACACACAAATATAAGTTTGTTTTCTACATTGTGTGTGTGTGTTTTCTCAGCTATGATTTGGTGTATGGCATATCTATATCTATATTGAAGTCTATGATGTGCTCATGTACATGGTAAGATAAATGTGTGTGCACTGTAAAAAAATATGTATGATTGCAATTTAACTCTACACTACTAAAAATGTTACATTAAAATACTGCTGAATTTACCATTTCTGGAAGCAAATAAAATATTTACTGAAAATAAACAGTGGTTTTATGTTACAATGCATGTTGTTGAATGAATGTTTATCGTGTTATTTTAGTGTTGTGTGTGTTATCAATCATGATGGTGTTTGACACAAAAAGGTCTGTTGGATTTACTGGTTTAACATGTTTTTTTTTGTAAATGACTACAAATATAAGTTTGTTTTCTACATTGTGTGTGTGTGTTTTCTCAGCTATGATTTGGTGTATGGCATATCTATATCTATATTGAAGTCTATGATGTGCTCATGTACATGGTAAGATAAATGTGTGTGCACTGTAAAAAAATATGTATGATTGCAATTTAACTCTACACTACTAAAAATGTTACATTAAAATACTGCTGAATTTACCATTTCTGGAAGCAAATAAAATATTTACTGAAAATAAACAGTGGTTTTATGTTACAATGCATGTTGTTGAATGAATGTTTATCGTGTTATTTTAGTGTTGTGTGTGTTATCAATCATGATGGTGTTTGACACAAAAAGGTCTGTTGGATTTACTGGTTTAACATGTTTTTTTTTGTAAATGACTGTTTTAAAGTGTAAATTTACAGGTCGATCTGTATGTAAACACATTGTACTGTATTTTTCCGGAGTCATGTTTGTACCGCGCAGTGAGTCGGCGCTGAAGGTCTGGAAGCCTCTCTCCTGGACGCTGCCGTTAGTCTGCAGCAGAGTGACCCCAGACACAGAGTCACGGATGCAGAGCTGCGACAGATCACCACCCTCCTGCGGATTACTGACCTCCAGACGCACCTGCACCTGCGCAGACACACTGCCCCCCCAGTCCACCTGCAACACACATTTACACACTCATATACATACACCAGCACACACACACACTCATATACATACACCAGCACACACACACACTCATATACATACACCAGCACACACACACACACATATATACATACACCAGCACACACACACACACATATATACATACACCAGCACACACACACACACATATATACATACACCAGCACACACACACACACATATATACATACACCAGCACACACACACACACATATATACATACACCAGCACACACACACACACATATATACATACACCAGCACACACACACACACATATATACATACACCAGCACACACACACACACATATATACATACACCAGCACACACACACACACATATATACATACACCAGCACACACACACACTCATATACACACACACATATATACATACACCAGCACACACACACACTCATATACACACACACATATATACATACACCAGCACACACACACACTCATATACATACACCAGCACACACACACACTCATATACACACACACATATATACATACACCAGCACACACACACACTCATATACATACACCAGCACACACACACACTCATATACACACACACATATATACATACACCAGCACACACACACACTCATATACATACACCAGCACACACACACACTCATATACACACACACATATATACATACACCAGCACACACACACACAGAACACACACTCATATACATCCACCAGCACACACACACACAGAACACACACTCATATACACACACACTCTCATATACACACACACACAGAACACACACAGTCTATGAACACGGGGACAAACACACCTGAGCGCACTTGTGGAAGGAGACTCCAAACGCTGAAGGCTTCGTCTCGCTCTGAATGAAACACACATCAGATCAGACTGAGATCAAAGACACAACAGAAAGCTGACAGCTGAATGATGGATGATTGACAGATATCCGTACAAATCTCACCCGCTGTGAGGCGTGTCTGCTGCTTCTCTGCCCCGCCCACTGACCTAATAAGGTGTAGGGGGCGTGGCCTGAGATGGCGTCCTCTGCGTACTGCTGTGAAGAACTGATACTTCGCCTCATCTCTGAGGGAAAAAAAACCATAGAAACTACTGTGTTCTTTATTTCCCACCCAAAAACAACTAACAGATGTTTACTTTGAGATTTAAAAAGAACATGAAATTAGAAACCTTTTCTGCGCTGTGATTCCTCTTGATGAACAATGGATAATGCTGCATTGATTACAAGAGCTCGCGCGATAAACAGCAACACGCTCATAATCACAAAACACCCAACGCTCCAAACAAACATTTCCACACGCGGGACATGTGATCACAAGCCGGCGCATTTAACGTAATCAAATTAAACGATCCCACCGCGACGATTTATAAAGGAACAACCTGAACGACTCATTAAATTCATGTTGTTCTCGGTTTATTAATGTCACCAGCAGCACTGCTCTTCAACGCTGCAAACGTAAATATCTGATGAGTGACCGGGAAGAAGAGACGCGCATCTCGCCGTTTGTTTTTCCATTTCCGTTTTGCACAACTTTTCCAAAGATTGGAAACTGCTGCAAGCCCCGCCCACACGCGCCTCCGATTGGCTCAATGAGCAACATTCCTCAGGCGATGCCGCGCTACGACTGGCTGCGAACTCTGCCAATCAAAAGTAACCGTACAGCGGACAGTAGGAGCAGTGTTGCCAACTTAGCCATTTTGTAGCTAAATTTAGCAACTTTTCACACTACCCTAGCAACTTATGGCGCTTTTCCACTGCATGGTACGGCACGGTACGGTTCACTTTTGGTTCTTCCAAAAGCACCTAGCAACTTTTGATAAGTGACTCAAACAATAAAAAGGCACACATTTTCCATCTAAATTTCACAAAAAGAGGAAACCAAAGTTGCCTAGCAGTACACACATCACATGAATTAAGTTATTGCTATTTGCAATTGTTCAATTTGATAATGATAATAATAATAGTTTAATAATTGTTCATTAATGAACCACCTTGTTAGTAGCTTGTACCTGCGATTGTTGATCAGTTAGTACACTAAGATAAATATCTAGAAAAATGGAAAAAGGTATTAGTAATTTTCCAGGACATTGTTATCCATTATCCGTTATCCGTTGTAACCTTGTAACCCGAAAACACAAAATACAATGCGTAATTTAAAATGCAGGTAAAAAAACCCTGTGAATTAACATAGTAAATTGTGCCCTATTTTTACAGACTTTTCTTAGAGTGTAGCATAGTAACTACTAATACACTGCTTAAACTAGGATTGTTCAGAATGTGTAGTTTTACTAATGAAACTTAAATTGTAATCATTCAAAAATGTGTAAGTGTTCAATAATTCAACAGTATTTTACAAACAAATCTAAATTAACATATAAAAAATTTATTAATTTATTTATTTATTTATTTGCTGAGATTTGATGTAGTGACAATTTTGCGTCGTGATTACGTAATGACGTCATCGCGCAATAACGTCACAACATCATTTAGCAGCTTCCCCTGAAGATTAGTCTCAACACTGAGTAGGAGCAGGTATGGCGTTATTTTGAATCGTGCTCGTTAAAGCAGGCTTTAACCCAGTCAGCAAACAGATCTGGCCCAGATTAGTTTTCATCCGGCTCTGGCATACAGCATGTGGGTCAAACATGGCCCGGGTTCGGCAGAGATGGTACCGGGTTTAAGACGGCACACAAGACATGGCCCAGATGTCAAATAGAGATATGTGGGCCACACACACATTTAAAATCCATTTCAAATATTTTTGAGTAAAATCCCAATGTTTTCCCATACAGAAAGGTTATATATTAATATGTGAAACACTTAAATATTTTGAAATATATTTTTAAAATGCATAACATAAAGCTCATGTTGCGTGTTTAATTATGTGTTTACATATATGTGAAATTATATTCATGCCTCATATGATATTATATGATATATGATATTATAGCTTATATTATAGAATAGTATATTCTGTTGGTATATATATATATATATATATATATATATATATA